CTCTTCTTGTGAATGCCCCTTTAGGTGGGTTGAAGTGCTCGGCTGTGGTGCGATAAAGAAAGAGATCCTCGACCGTGGACTGGGCCCAGATAGCGGCCTCCACGGTTGGGCCTTCGGGATCGGCTTGGAACGTCTGGCAATGCAGCTTTTCGAGATCGACGATATACGATTGTTTTGGTATGATCCACAGCAGTGTTGGAATTAATCCACCGATCAGCTCACAAGTTCCCTCGCTATATAATTGAAATTCACACGCGACTTTGGGTAGAAGTGTTTCAAATTTTCCCAAAACTGCAGTGTGGTGAAATATGCATATTGTCAACCACACATGTTGGTGCCAAAATGAAAATTCTGAGGAAATTATGGGCAATACTCAACTACTTTTTACTCGGATTCGCATATGAACTTCTATAGAGGAAACTTCTAAGCTCAGATGAGGAAAGCAAACATATATATGTCCACACTGAAAACTGCGTCTGAAATTTTCCATTGTCATCAAGATGAGCAGATTTTTCCACACTGATTTTCAATACATTTCCCCTCCAGAGAATATGTTGGTATCTCTATATTACTTATATTTCTGTTATTTTTATATATTTCTGTTAATGTTTTCTAATATGCGTGCTTCGTCGTATTCCTCAGGTCCACGGACAAGCGATTCTTGGACCAGTTTGCCGATGGAGAATTGAAGAAGTTCGAGCCTTTCAGCAACTATCCACCAGTGTTTAAAGACATCTCCTTTTGGATCGAAGACTATACCAAGTTTGATTTGAACAGATTCTTCGAAGTACTTCGAGCCTTCAAGTAAATGTAAATTTATTCTTCTAGATTTGCCGAGAGATATCCACTGACTGCCTCGAGTCAATCGAAATGAAGGATGAATTCTTCCAGTGAGCTCACCTTGTTTCATTCGAACACTCATGCTTTTCTGGTGGCCCCTCAGTCCCACGACAGGGAGATGCTCGCTGTGCTTCCGTTTGACGTATCGTTCCTTTTGAAGGACGTTGACACACGAATCAGTAAATGACATGCATCGTGCTGTGGTGGAGGGGATATCGAAGGAATTACCGATCACGATACGATGAT